GCCCTGGACTTAGGCAACTCAGACAATTCCAGTCCGGTGAAACAGACCGTTTACTATAGTGAAGCCTTAGTCACATGACCTCGGACCTTTGCACATCTTTCTCTGGCCATTAACGAGATTTGTGAAGCTGTTCCTCGCGTTACCTCCCAGAGCTGGAGCTCACGGCCATTGTCAGCCTCCTTGGTCTGGCTCTCCTGCTTTAGTTCCTCCAGGTTCCTGTTGATTGACAGGGTCTGCAGGGCCTCCAGGTCTACCTCTTTGCCAAACTTCATCATCATCAGCTGCTGACACTTTTCCTCGAGCACTGTGAAGAGACAGCGTGTCATTATTGGAATCCTTCCTGTCAACTATTAAAAAAATACATCAACGGCCGGGCTGAGGAATCTAGTAACTTGCATTTTCTGACTATTTTCATGCATGTTTCTGTGAAACCTAAATAAATAAAAACATTCATCGGGTTTATTTCAGTAGCTGACCAGCTTTCGGTGATCACGAACTTATGGAGATACGAACCCTGTATCTTGGCCGCCATGTCTCTCTTGTCGTGGATGAGCTGCACATGCTCCTGCCGCGCCTGGCGATACAGCTCCCTCTGCTGGCTCTTCTCCAGTTGCAGCTCGCGGATCCTCTGCTGCAACCCCACCAGCGCTGCCATGTTGAATATCAGGGCCTGGGACAGCCTGCTGGGCACTGTGCCATTATTGACATACTCAATCTTCATGGGCACAAGAGAGAAGGAGAGGGAGAGGTCAGTGAGACTGTGGGGACATGGGCATAGTCACTCAGGACTCCTTCAAATGGAAGAAAAAACCTTCATAGGTGCTTTTGTTTAATTATTTAGATACTCATTCCAATGTGCAAACAGATAATCTGCAGTAAATCCAATTCTAAAGTACCTAATTGTAATAAGTGGAGTAATGAGTGTAGCAGGAGATAAAGTGGTTTACTGTATCTCACTCTAAGCAGGACCCCATCTGCACAGACCCACCTGATGGAGTCTCAGAGGCACCACCACATCTAACTCATTAAGCTTCTGTTGCTTCTCCCGCTGAAACAGCTCCAGCTCGCCCTCTGCTGTCTTTAGGCTTGCGCTGACGATTTTCTCCTGAGAGGAAAATGGCAATTGCCATTAAAAACCAGAGCCGTGCAAGCAAAGCAAATAAACCAGCAAAGCCAGAGTGCAACACCATCCTACGTCTGAGTCTCAAATGGATCAGAAGAAGTTAAATGGTTGTGACATTTTCTGGGGTATGTCCATGAAAACAGTGCCCAAGCAGCCTCCTCGGAGTTAAGACTTGCCTTCTTAACCAAGGAGTCGCATTCCTTTTTCAGGCTTTCTGCAATCTTCTTTTCCTCCATCAGGGCCTCCTCAATGTCCAGTCGCTTCTCTCGCAGCTCAATGGTGCTGTCAAACAGCTCTGGGTTGCAGTCTGCACACAATCGGCACAGAGCATGTCAGCCGTTAAACAATAGTACAAGAAACGGAATCACAAAGCAAGGAAAATGTACTTAGGAGTGGGTGTAAACTGGAGTACACTGGTAAGTAATATCATGAAGACTAAGTGAATTTCAATGGATATGAGGCAGTGGCCTGGATTACTCACTGGGTGGGCACACACTGTCATCTAGAGGGCCAGTCTCTGACCCAGAGTCTTCTTCATCGCTGCCCCAGTCAGACTCTTCATCGGACTCCTCCTCACTCTCCACTTCCTCCTCTGAAGGAAATCATGACATCCGAACTGTATTAATGTTTGCATTTGTTTTGTAAACTAACTTGTCACATTTCCATGGCTTGAAGTCAGTAAGGTACTGTCAAATACTACAGAAAGAAAACTGATAGTCAGTTGTCAAAAACCGTGCCGTCCTGTAAGCAGATATGTCCTCCCTGTAACACAAATCCTCACGCTAACACCAACCTTCATCCCCTTGCCTCTCTTTCTTCTTCACTCGCTTGATTTTCTTCTTGAAGACCTTGGTGAGAAAGTCTGCAAACTTGTTGTTCTCGCCCAGGGAGGCCTGGAAAGTGGCAGCAATGGCTCTCTCCTTCTCCTGCAGCTTGGAGATGTCCCGCTTCTTGGCTTCCAGCTGCTGCTGGCACTCCTCGTACTTGCACTGCACCCACCAAACACAGCCAGGTGTCAGAGGAACGCTCGTGAGGAACACTCACAGTGCTCTTCCAGAACGTGAAACTAATATCACTTCTCCTTTGTTCAAAGAGGCTGGGTCCCAATTGTTTTAGCTGAGATAGGAGACAAATTATTGCCTTGCAGAATGACTAAATATTAGGTTAAAATACAATTTATGTACACGGTAACCTTCAGGAATAGATGTGGATGTTTGCCTGTTTTGCCTTCTGGCATGTACTGTAGGGGCAGAAACATCCTGTTGCTGTTTCTTTCAACATTGATTTTTTACAGGACAGGGCTGTTAGCCTTGTGCCCAGCCTCCAGCATGGAGGACCTGGCGCCCAGCGTGGGACACGAACCCACTACCCTCAGATTATGAGTCTCATGCTCTACCAACAGAGCCAGTCGGGGCCCAACCTTCAGGTAGGCTTTCTATGCAATTGCTTAAGGCAATATCTACTATTCCAATCTGTTCAATTGGTGGATTTTGACACTACCAGATTTATACAACTTGTTTTACCAGTTCGTGAACAGTGCCCACGATGAAGGAGATGGCTGTGCCATAGGTCTGACTGGGATGGCCCGTACTGAAGACTGCCCACCTGCAGCTCCAGTTCCTCCCCGATGCGCGTGTTGACTCGCTCCTGCAGGATGTTCTCTCTCTTCTCAAACTCCTTGAGCAGCAGCAGCTCCTGGAACAGCGTGACGTGCTGCAGGTCCACCAGCTTCATCTGGATGTCCAGCTGCAGCTTCTGATGCCTCAGCAGGAACAGCTCGGCATCAAAATTCTTCGTCAGGTCCTCAATCTCTCACCCGGAGCAGAGGGAAGACAAATCAGAAAGGCTAAAGCTTCGTTCAGATAGCAGGGAAACAATGTAAATCAACATGTATGACTCAAAATGGGGCATGAACCTGTAGAATTCAGATGGACATTAGCTCCTTTATGTTAAGAAAGCAGGGAAGAATGGCAGGCAACGTACCTGGTCATTGGAATTTACATTCTCTGTGTGGGGGGCTAAATATATTCTTATCCTGTGCTCATTTATAGTCTATGCTGTATGTGTCCTTGTGATAAACATTTATGGTACTATAAAAAGCTTGTTCTGGGTTTATCTGGTTTATAAAATGTACTCTGAAGTGTTTGTGTTTCAGAGCTGGGTCAGTAAAGATACATTGACCTCTCAACTTTGTTCTCCATATGGCCGTCAATCGTAACACTTCAAAACAGTAGTGAAATGTGCTGTGACCTCCTGCCTCCCTACACCCCATTCAACTGAAAGAAGAACTGTGTCTTTCAATGTGGGGCTGGTCATCAATTGCCAGAAAAGTTTACCAGTGCTTCCCCATAACACAGTCCATCCTAGAGAGCCCGTAAGCCGCTTTCTTGATTATCGATTCAGACCAACAGCAGCTCTCACCCTCTGCAGCAGGCTGTCTTGCAGGTAGAAGTGTCTAATTTCCTCGGCCTGCTGCATTTCCTCCTCCAGGTCTGTGAGGACGGCGTCGTACTGCTCAGTCTGGCTCTCGCTGGAACACGGGGTGCCCTCCCTGTTGGGGCTCTCGCAGGCCAGCATCTCCTCCTGCTCCCGTCCTGCCAACGCAAGGCCCAGAAACCCAGACTCGTCTTCTCCCGCCTCCAGGTCTGCAGTGCGGGCGCGCTTGGCCCTCAGCTGCTTGTACCTCAGCAGAGTGTCCCTGGTGTAGCGCATCTTCCGCTCGGGCATTTCTTCGGGCAGCAGCGTGGGCACGCTGGGCACAGGGCGCCGCTTGGCAGGATCCAGGCGGCTCTGCACCGTCCGCAGCTGCTGCACGCAGTCCCAGATCTGCCGGATGGACTCCACTTTGGAGTTCCGGAGGCTCATGATCTTCTCATTCATGTCTGTTTTGAGGTCATGCATCTACGCACGTGAAAAGAAATATAGTAAAGAAGTCAGAAAATTATATCAGATTACCATTATTTTTGAACAGCTTTCCACCAAGATTTTCTTTCAATCTGTTATTTCCTTATTTTACATACTATTTAAGGAGTCAGTCAAACCAAGCTATTTTTTTTTTTCACAAAACAGATTGTACTTACGCAATCATTTTTTATGATAAGATTCGTTAAAACCTTAAAAGGTTTTATCGTACTACCCACTGAGCTGTTAAACGAAAAATGCAATGAATTCAGATTGTAGAGTAATGGAATCAGAATGATGATCTGGTTTCAAAATGAACACCTTCTCTTCCAGGTTGACCAGCTGGACTCTCTTCTTTTCTGCATTCATTCTCAAGTGCTCAGGCACAGTGAAGTCCTTTGCCGTCTTCAGCTTGAAATCCCCCATGTTGTCCTGGGCAATTTTAATGGCTTCCACATCTCTGGGGTCCTCGAAGTTCTCATCTGGCTTTGAGGCATAACTGAAAACAGACATGTGGTTTAGGAGCTGTAATATTGGACGACCTCTAAATTTTGGGTGTGTCTGAACAACCAGATCTTCAAAATCCATTTCTATACAGGTCTGGTACCACTAGCTGGGTTACATAGCCATTGAACTAAACCGAGGAGCTCAGCTCTAGCAGACAGGAAGGCCTCGTTAACAATCCAATCAGACTGCTGAATTTACAGATTACATCAGCACCACACTCACAAATGAATAAAAACTCTCCTCTGCAGACCCACCCTTTACAGTCTTGAACAGTCTATTATGTGAATTATTGAAGGTTTTTTTACATTCATATTTTCAGTACTCCCAGAAAGATTCTGTGCCCTTGCTTGTCCTGGCCCCGTAGTTGAAACAAAGCCAATAACGGAAGTCTTACAGTTCCTCCCACTCTTTCTTCCTCTTCTCGATCTTGGCCCGGGCTCTCTCGGCCTTCTCCATTGCTTTCTGAAGCTTCTCTGCCTGACGACCCGCCAACCTGGTGCCTGCTGCATGTGTGCCACGTCTCTGAAGCATGGCGTCGTGGCCAGGGCCACCGTCCCTCTCCTCCTCTGGGGAAAGCAAAACCCACCCGTTGGCACCGGGAGCACGAGGACAACGAGCCTGACAGATACTTGCATCTCTCTGCGCGGCTTCTTCCCGTGACTCTTCTGTACATAGCACCTGGGGAACCTCCGCGAAGCCGCGACACGAGCATGACAGACGGCGTCTGGCACCAGAGGGCAGTACAAGAACTTGACATTAGAGAAGAGTAACATACCTGAAAGCAAACACAGAAGAAAAACCAGGCCTCAATAAGTAACGAATTTCAAATATGATCAAAGTTGATCCCTTTAAAGCTATGTTCAATCCCACACAGATATTACAGACGGGGCTAGGCTCACCGCTGTAGCTGCTGTCCCGGCCGTGCTCCGCCCGGCTGCGTCTCCGCTCCTGCCCTGCCTGGCTCGCCCGCTTGCTCTTCTGCTTCAGCTGGCGGTACTTCCTGGACAGCGCCAGGAGCCGGTAGGTGGACACCCTGTAATCGCTTCCGAAAGCCCTCACGATGACCGTGTCCGACTCCAGAGAGTCCCAGAACCTGCACAGAGCCCAGTGAGGAAAGCATTTTACTTTTTCCTTAGAGCTAATGTCTGTACCTAAGGAAAAGACCCGCGAAGGGGAGATTGCTGATGGGTTCGCTCAGTAAGTGGACACGCTTCACGGAGCTCATTCAGTTCCAGGGTGCCTATAACGAAAACATTACTCTGCCACTGTTTTATAGACAGATTTGGAAAAATTCCAGAAAAATTAAATTAAATTAAATGAAGCCTTGTCCTGGAACAATAAGATATCTTCTAAACCGGGGTTTGTGAATATGGGGTTCTGTATAGTGAAGGAAGAAAGGGCTGCTTTTGAGTATTCCAGTTGCATTCCTGTCCAGTAATGATATATTGAGCCCACCGGGCTGAACAGTACCGTTCCTGCAGCTTCTGCAACCCAATCCTGTGCTTCTCCTCCTCCCAGGCCAGTTCTTTGCGAACCGCACGGATCCTCTGAGCCGTCAGCCTCTCCGTTTCCTCTCTGATCCGTGGGTCCAGCTCAAACTCCTGGGGAAGACAGGAGAACACTTTGGTTTTGCACAGCGACGGAAGCAGCCTTGTTTTACATCCACTTGTCCTGTGACTCTTTTTTTTCAACATCTTTAATCACATGAAAACTGAGGTGCAGTACAGACCTTGCAAGGACACAGTCAATCATAGTCGTTTGTACTACGGTCCTAACCCACTGCATTTTGCAGCTTTCATTTAGGCAGGAATAACACCTGCAGCAGTGTACCGGCAGTGATCTGTGTACATTTCAGGTTATTCACATACTAACAGGGTGGAACGTCGACTATGTGTGGAGATTTTCAGTAAAATTAATAACATTTCAGCGTTCAAGGCTTGCTAAGTGTTAATGTTCATAAGACACCCAGCAGTATAAAAAGCCTTTTGTTCACAATAGTCACATAAACCTTTCAAGACGTTAACATGTGCAGTAATGGTCCGATATTGAAGAGCACGGCGGCAGAGACAGCAGGTGCCACCCTTACCGCCCTGTCCAGTCGCACGTGTTCAGGCAGGCCCTGGTTCTGCAGCAGGAGCTGCCTGAACTCCCTCTCCAGCTCACTCAGCTTCCTCCTCCTCCCAGCCCTCCTCTCCTCTGCCTCCCTCCTCATCCGATCCATCTCCGTTTTCTGCTTCGCTGTCTCAATGCTAAATCACACAAAGGTAAAAACCTGGGCAAAAGATGTCCTCCTGACACTGACTTTTTCAAATGTTGTTTGTTCGGTGCCTTCTTGATGTTTTATTGTTTAATGCTGATGTTTCTATTTACATACCTGTACGCATTTGGATCTTCAATGTCCTCTGCAACCTTTTCCTTTTCTAGACCTTCCTATTATTGTTCAAAACAAATAAAAGCATGAAAACATGAAATTGTACTATAACATACAAAAGAACATAGCACTTCAAGGTTTTTATTCTGAGATAGAAAACACAGCACACAGTTGAGCTGATTTATTTTCTTTCTGTGCAGTAAAACTACGAGTTGCCTCTTGGAAACAATATGTTTTAAAGTTTCTTTATTAGCCCTATACAATTTCTTGCATTAGGAATTCGTCTTTTCGCACACCCCAGCTTTTCTCCATGGAGACACAGACACACAGACAGGGAGAGAAGCTGGGGGTCAGAGCGCAGGGTCTGCCATTGTACGGCGCCCCTGGAGCAGTTGGGGTTAAGGGCCTTGCTCAGGGGCCCAACGGAGTAGGATTCCTCTGCCGGCTGTGGGATTTGAACCAGCAACCTTCCAGTCACAGGCACAGATCCTGAGCCACAGAGCCACCGCTCCACCCATATACAGTATTATAAACCAAATGGTACTGTATTGTAATCAATGGCTGAAGCTCACAGTAAAATGTCCTGCTTTGTGCTTCTGCCCTAGTATTACCAGTATGAGTCCTCACCCGGGGAGAAGGGACCTTGGCTCTTTTCTTTTCCAGTGCTCTGTGGAGGTCCTCTTGCGGCAGCAGGCTGAACACAAAGATATTGCCGTCCTCCCCAGCAGTGAGGACAAACTGGTCGTCGTGGCTGCAGCGCACCCGTCGCAGCGCCCCGTACTGGTTGTCATGGACGCTCAGTGCCCAGAACCCTTGCATGGAGGTGAGGACAGGGCTGTCGGGCTGCAGGGGGTACACCCTCACCTGGCCGCTCTGCATCCCACAGAGCAACAGCTGCCTGTTGGAGCTGCAGTACAACAGGTAAGAACAGAACAGGACAGGATACAGTCATTTGGCATAGCCTCACCACAGCACGCTGCGCTGCACAGGATTGTCATTCCTCCGGCAAGACAAAGTCACGGGAAAACAACTCAGCAGTGACAAGGCTCCCCGTACTCACCTGAAGCTCATGGTCCTGATGGGATCGCGGTCTGTGTCCTGAACTGGGAGGAAACTGAAAGGCTCATCCCGTCTCTCCAGTGGGTCCTGCTCAGCGTCCTGCTGCTCAGAGAACTTGCAGTGATAGAGAAATCCGGAGTCGTACCCACCCTGTACAGAGAAAGAGAGGAAGGAATCAAGAGCTGAACGGATGAGAATTTCATTAGCAACAGAAATTCAGAAGTATCAGTGAGCAGACTGTGTATTATTAACAATATGAACATGTCTTAGTCGAATGCTACTTCCCAGTCTGTCCTACAAAAGAGACATTCAGGGGTGTACTGTACAATACAGGACACAGCACTCAGGCTCACCGTAACAGAGTCTGCTGACGTAAATTCTGTTTAATGTTCAATATGTGAAAAGCCATGCATTAAAGAATTGGGTGCAATAACAGAGAGTATGCTCTGCTTGGTAAAATACTGTATGTGTGACTGCAGCTGTTGTTTTCTTTGGGATGCAAGCTGAACAGTCCTTTACAGAGTTTAACTCATATGATTTTGGGAGGGGGAATTGCGACAATAAGAGTTTTTGATGAAGATAAACGTGGCGATGGTCCTAAGGGGATGGGCCACTTCTGCGAATAAGAGGTGTGCTCTCCTAAGGCTCCCGGGAACAGAGCAGTACCATGGAGAGCCAGAAGGCTCCAGGCTGGGAGTAGAGGCCGCAAAGCAGGGGGCTGGGGGGGTCCGGGATGTGCAGGGGGGGCAGCTCGTCCTCCTCGGGCTCGGGCTGCTCCTGCAGGTCCTCCTCCGTCAGCTCCTGGCCGAGCTCCTTCTTCCGCCTCAGCCTCTCCTCCCTCTCCTCCCGCCTCCGCCCCCTCTCCTCCCGCCGGCGCGCCACCTCCGCGTCTCTCTGCAGGGCGGGAGGGACAGGCAGCCGCCCGGAGGGGGGCCGTCAGACACGGGAAACCACTCGCCTCCCGCTGTCTACGCCCTCCTCCCTCAGGAACTCTGCCGCAATCCAGGGCGATAAACACATCCGCCAGCCGCAGCGCAGACCACATCCTGTTGCGACATCTCTGCCACGCTGCCGGATGCCAGTTTTAAATCAATGTTCAGAAAGCACGGAGAGACAAGGAGGCGGCGGAGGTAGGGCCCCAGAGGCTGTCCTCGTACCCTGATGCGAGACTTGATGCTGCGGAAGTGGAAGTGCCGGGCGGGCAGGCTGCGGATCTGGTAGGTGGTGCCGGAGCTCGGCAGCTCGGGGTCGGGGGCTGGGACCTCCACCACATGGCCATTCTCACACAGGACCAGCAGGGTGCTCCTCTCCTGGGCACAGAAGAGGGCTTTGAACCGCAGGTGTAAGACCCACCCTTGCCTTCATGAAACAATCTAAGGGAGTGGCAACCATTTGGTCCATCAGCAGAACGGACCAGCATGCTCCCTGTTCTTAGTGAAGGGGAAATCCTCTCATGGTGCATCCATGAAAGACATCTGTTTCTTTTTACAGTATTCTTTTTTTTTAAATACTGTTCAAAAAGATATATTTTTTTAAAAAAGCACTAAAATGTACTATCCAATAAGGTAAAATAGATGTGCAAACATCTGCTGCTTTAAGCGGCGAGTCATCTCCAACACCCTACTGACCCACAAGGGCGACCAGTCGATCTTCACTGATCGGACTGGTTGTGAGGCAGAAGAAGAGGGAAGGAAGAGGAGGGACGCACGTGTGATGAAGGAGACCAGTCAAGGCCCCGCACAGGCCCCAGCACGTTAACAAAGCCAATGGGCTCATATCGCTCCCCAACAGTGAAGAAAAACACAGTCTTGTCCAGGCTCTGAACAGAAACACAAACACAGACACTTAGAAATGCCACTGTCAGATACGCTCAGCGTTACAAAGCTCCTTGCATTGAAGGGTAACTGGAATTATATTTTTAAATACCCAAAACTAACAAATGATCTTCTAGTGAACAAGATCAACGCATGAACTAAAACGTCCGCTGTCGGCAGGTATCTTTTACTCTTTTTGCCGGCATAAGTGTCCCATCTTCTGGGAGCTGGGCGCGGCCTGCCTACCCCAGTGGCCAGGATCTCTCCGTTCCTCTCGTACGCGATGGCGGTGACCGGGCCGGTGTGAGGCTTGAAGGCCTGCTTGAGACGGATCTCCGCGGCGCCGGAGCGGGAGATCCCCGCCACAGCCGACAGGCCCAGAGGATTGTAAACCTCCAGGAGTCGCACCACTCCGTCCTGGAAGCCCACCGTCATCAGGCCGCCCTTGGGGTTCACCTGGAGGAAAAGCAAGAAGGACGAGGCAGTTGTGACGTCACGCCCCCGGAGAACTCACCGGCCTTAATCAACTCCTTCACATTCCAGTGCAGTTCACATGAACTCATCAGACACACCTTCTTCCACCTGCCTGCTTTAACCAACCTGACACGCCACTCCTTGCTCAGTATTGGGTTTTACCCAGCTAGAGCTGCATTGTTCCCTGTTTCACTAGAAGTTTTTGGCTCTGACCCCTGGCTATTTCTCTGACTTCATCTTCTGGATCTCAACTTGGTTATTGTGGATGTACTGGTTTTTGACCCTGGCCTGACCTCCCGAGCCACATTTTCGGATAATCTCCTGCTGGTACTTCAAGTTCAGAGGATTCTGATTAGGGTCCTTCTTCCACGCCGTAACAGCAGTCACACACTGGTCCCCAAAGAATCACAGTGACTTAACGATATCAGAGACTCCGTCAAAGCGCCAGACACAGACACCTTACCATGCGAGGCGCCCAGGTCAGGGTGGTTCCTCCTTGTCTAAAGTGGCCAGTGGTCAGCTCCTTCTTAGCAAGGAAGTCAAAAATGCGCACAGACCCTTGAGATCAGAAGAGAAAATAGCCACTGCAACAATGTCTAGACTTCACTGCACACGACTCTCATGATATTGAAATTGCTCAGAACCGAAAGTGAAAGCTTAAACCTTTTTCTAGGTATGCCATGAAGGGTTAATATTTAGGCTTATTACAAGGTTTGGCATTTTGGCACACTTTGACAAACTTTAAAAAATAAAGGCTATGTGATTGTAATTTGAGATACAGCTTCTACAGTTCCCAGGTCTATTTCCAGCACAGATTGTATAACGGTGACAAATCAACATTCTGTGGCTAAACGACAGACTTGTCTACCATCAAAGTAATAAGTGATTCTCACGGTCCAGTGCGGTCGTGGCCATCAGGTGAGAGGTAGCCGAGACATCCATCCCCTGGATAATTCCCGAGTGGAAGGAGAACAGGCACTCCGGGTCCTGTGTCTGAAACCAGATCACAACAGTTTAAAACAACAGTTGAGCCCCTATTCCTGAGAGACGTGAACAACTGTCACCAACAGACCACGATGTCGGCCATTACAAGACACGTGCGCACTTCAAACCTACCACAGGTCTTCATCTGCCAAAAGCCTGTCCGTGCTTAGGCCGGGAATATTACCTTGAAACTAACATGAGTTAACAGTTCCGGAGCTGTTCCGATAGTTTTCTGCTTTGCTAAGATGTGTCTAAAAGGGAGAATGATGGGAAATTCCCTTAAATTAGCTCAGACCCCCCTTCTTCTCATGAGCCACCACTGGCAGGACTCATAACCATGTCATCCTTCAAATGTTGGATTAGTCTTTTTATTCAAAAATGTAAGATTATGAAAACTTACAATGTTTGAAAATGACAGGTCGAGTTTCCAGATAGCCCCCTGTGCATCCTGTAAGAAAAAACAGTAGACATGATGATGCTAATTAATAATGTAAAAGCAGCGATTTTACTTCAAAGTACATCACAAGCTTTACCAACTTCTTCAATGCTAACAGACATCAGAATACGAGATGTTAACACTTATTATTACTGCATATTCTTTTAGTCACTAAATCATGACATGGTTGCTTAAATTTAGATTTTTATGTCAAACAACAGACAAGAAATAAGAATGTTCATATTGCACTAACACTAAAAAAGGTAGTGAATGTTCATAAGCACTGTATAGGCTACAAGGAAAATAAAAATTAAAGTTACAAAAAGAATAACATAAACTCAAGGCGCCTATGCAGACCCCCACTGCCAGTTGTAATCTTACCAGAAGCACAGACCCTACCTGTGCAAACCAGATGAAGGAGTCTGGGCCCGAGCCCCTCACCATGGAGTACAGGCTCACTCTTTTCCCAATCACGATCTCATTCATGGGCTCAATCTCAAACAGCCCGCTGTCGTCCACGGAGTCTGCAGAGTCGACACCCTCAAAGTCCCACACCTGAGCCAACCACAGGACACGTGTCACGGAACGTGACAACAAGCCCAGAAACACTTGCGATTCTCACAAACTATTTCAAGAAACAATTAAAGAACCGAGAACACTTCACCTTTAGCCACGACATGGCATTCTGTTAGAAAGTGACGTATTGTTAAGACATTGTTCGGTGTGACACATGGAGTGGGTAAGCTGACCCACGTTTACTAGCATCTGCTCAAAAAACACGTCTACTGCTTCATCCATTCATCCGTTGCTCAGCACTGGCAATGACACCCGTAACTGTTCTGTAGAAAGAGGAGCAGAGGGCGAAGTGAGCTGTGCCTCACCCTGATGGCCCCATCAGTCCCGACCGTGAGGAGCTCCCCCTCGTCCAGGACGAACTGCTGGATGGGTCCCAAGTGGCACGGCCGCCCCCCTTTCCGGCAGATCTCCACCTTAATCAGCCCGCCGTCCCAGAGCAGCATGTTTCCCCACTCTGAGCCCGACACCACCTGGCACAGCGGGAACAGAGTGGTAACTGAATGCTGGACCCACATAGAGGGCAGCATTCAGATACAGTATGTGCACATCATTGACTAACATCTGAAGCCCCTGTTCATACAATCCTTGTCATTCAGGATCATTAGAACAGGTTAGTTCCTCTTGATACAGTTGCTAAATTGTTGCGATCACTCCATTTTTGTTACTGCTAGTTTAGGACATGCGAAGTGGAATAATTAGTTACTTTTACCTGTTCCTTCCACTCCTACCTTCCACTTCACTCCAAATCTTTCAAGTCCTCTTATGTGAGAGAACCAAAATGAAATGACACTTAAAGCACATAAGGTTAAGAAGTCAACTTACAGCAAATGCCCCTGGGTTTGCCTCAGAAATCAGTATTCCTCTTTGAAATAATGTGTGACCTGCTTTTTTCAAGTTCTGCATTCAAGGGAAAGAAGTAGAAGCAATTATTAACAAACCTTGCCATCAGGTAGCTCCACGTAGCCGTCAATGTCAGTCAATGCTGTTTTTCCAAACCTTCCCAGCATGCCCTGCAGCTTCAGCCCAGTGAAGGTGCTGGCCATCTTCCAAAACCTGCAATTGAGCAAAAAATCCTGTGTTACACAAATAACTTACCAACAACACAAAGGCTTCAAAAAATAACAATAAGAAAACAAGGCAGAATCAAGTAGCAGAAGCACAGTGTCTTTTCGTCGCATGATTTACAAAGAAATCCTGTTTTGAAAGGTTACACCAAGACTTTTTGTGGTTCAGTCTGGCAGAAATCAAAAAAATGTGTGTCAGAGCTGCGTGAACTTTGTTCACCAAGTTCAGCCCTGTCCATGCTAACTCACTAACATCAGAAACCATTGCTGACACGTTTCCTGTTACAGTTTGGAGTAACTCAGATTAGTTCCTCTTCGTTACAGCCCCGAGATCTGCACTGACTTGATGTGCCCGGAGCCCGAGCTGGTGAGCTGGCCAGGGTTGTCCGGAGAGAACGTGACTCTGTAGATGTCCTGGGAGAAAGCCTTGGAGCGCAGCACGACCTGCTCCTCCTGCCAGTCCCACAGGGTCAGCATGTAGTCAGGGCTGCTGCCCACGCTGGCCAGGAGACTGCCCGTGCTGTTAAAATCTACACAGCTGTAGGCCTCCTCTGTGCCTCCTACAGTGTGGGAGATAAGCATACCAGTATTTCTTCAGAGGCGCTCCAAAACACAAAATAAAAACAAACTGAGCTAACACGTATTCTTTCACCTGAAACAAACTTATTTTTAACATGCAAAGGAACAAGTAAAGGTTTATTCCGTGCTGAAAAGAGAAAAAACACAACGTTTTGGCTGTGGAGCCTGGGTGACGCAGGTGACACAACTACCTACTTGAACTACTTATTTTGAACATTACATGTGCGATTTGTTTTTCTTCATCTACTTCAGAATGTGAATTCTCACTACTAATGACAATATAGACTGTTGTCTGTTGTTATTCCTTCTTCTCATCTAAAATTTCGTTGCTGGCTTCTCCATTTGGCTTTTATACATACAAACCTCTTAGTTTTCTGTAAGGTCGCAGCGAGGGATATTCATAGATAATGATATCTGGCTGGGTGCCCTTGTCTGCTACAGCAAAATAGTTTTTACTTGGGTGTACCTAGAGAAAGAAAGACATTCAAAATGAACTTGAATGAACTGAACTTAACACTTTCATTGTTTCTAAACAACGTTTAGCACATTTTCTATTGGAAGGTCACAATATCTCAGACACAGAAGGCATCTTCTGTTAACAGTAACTGAATTAACTGTATGTTGCGCTTGTCCAGTGGATAATGTCATAGCAAGAACATTACAGCACAGCATGCAGGCGGCAAATTGAAAGAGAGACCTGACATATGTAAAATGCATTGCCACTGACGAACAATGTATTTTCTAACAAAGCTTCCCTCTTTACTAATGAAACAATTTATTGTAACACTCTATCACTGCATTATGATGGTACTCCATCCACTGATGCTGTACTCTACAACCACTTTGTGATTCCTGATAATGTACTGTACCATGACTCTGCTCAGTCTGTAATGTACTGTGCAACTACTGTGCTGATTCTGTGCGATGTACTGTACAACCAGTCTGCTGATTCTGTGCGAGGTACTGTACCATTATTGTGCCAATTCCTCCTCCACTACAGCTCCTCAAGTAACGCTGCTCCTTAGTTGTCCAATCCAGGAGGATCACCAGGTTCCCAGCCACAAAGGCGAGGGTGTTCTCATCGAGAAGCTGCAGATTTGCCCTCTTGGTGCAGTCATAGCCAAAAGAGTGTCTGAACAAAGCTGTCAAAGACTAAACTGCCTGGCTTTCAAAGTCTTTCAAAGTCACCTGTGAGATGTCTGGTGGGATACTGCTGTTGGTACTTTACTTGAATTGTTTTAGTAAATGCCCTGCCTTATAAATGGGTCTGTGGGCCATATTTGTAAATGAGAATTTGCTCAAAACTGAATTATGAAGGAATAAACAATAGTGCTTTGCTGTTTGCGTTTGCTTGTTTTGCTCTGGTTGAATGTGTAATCGGTAAGTGTACATTTTCTTAAGTTCTGTTGTTTTTTTTTGTGAGAGGTACTATTACACCACAGTTTAAGTTTAAACTTTGAAGTTCTAAAGGTTTTGCAGAACAACTTTCAGTTTCAAAACCAAGGAATGAGAAGGCAACATTTGCAGTCCTGGCTTAAAGTGGACACAAATGCAGCTTGTTCAACAACAGAACAACAAAAGGTTGTTTTTTTTTAGTCTAATCTAGTTGTTTGAGACACAAGGATACAGCAGTTGAAGCAGGTTAGTAGGAATGCCAGAGTCTGGGGACACAAAAGGTTTAGAACAGAGCTCCTCGTACTCGTAGTAAAAGTCTCGAGGGATCTTCTTCACTGCTGTGCAGCTGTCCTCTCCCTCTTCCTCCTCTTTATGAGCATTTACACTCGTCTCCTGGGGCTCACCACCTTCTAGAGACGGGGAAACAGAAATAAAACAAAAGGGAATTAGCTCTCAGAGAGCTGTAAAACGGAAAGCTGACGGAATTTACTAAAACTCTGTATTTGCCATGTGGATTTCGATCCTATCTGAACTAACGCCTTCGTGCAGATACGAAGTAGATGAGTGGTGAAGACAGACCCTCAGCAGGCTGTGTGTGGGCTTCAGCTTCTCCCTCTGCAGAGCGGACATTCACATGGGGCTCCTTCACTGCCTCTTCACCGTCTGTGGTCTTACTGCTTTCTTCCGGCTCCTGGCTTTCTGTTTCGGTCTCCTCTACATCAGAATACAAGACTGATTTCATTCAACTTGCTACAGTCTAGAGCTCAAATCTCAGCACTGCAGTCTGATTATACTGTAAAAGATAATAAGCACTTGAAAATGGCCGAGCTAGACCTTTACATTTGTGAGTGAATTCACTGATGATTTTAGCTCATTGTAAACTGGTAAAATGTTCTTCTTCGGTGTCCTGGAAGCCAAATTGAAATTGAGACAAATCTCTTGCATCTGAATTACAAAAAGGCTACATGTCAGATTTTGTGGCCAACCAATATTGCATTTTCCTTTACCATTACCTGTAAATCCATAATGTGAAGTGCCATCGTGAGTTGTCTTTGATATGGACATCAAGGAAAGAAAGTCTTCCAGTTTTCGCTGGCCGTGATGCTTAGTTCTTACTGTTCGGCGCTGCCTACAGGTAGAAAGGGACACTCACCTGGCGGCGCCTCTGGAGTGTCTGGCCCTGCAGGCTCTCCTCCTGCCACTGGGGGGACGCCGTCCCTGGCTTCTGGAGTCTCCTGGTCCTTTTCACCGGCAGCCTCTTCTTCCTCTCCTTCGACACAGCGGAAACGGAAAGAACAGTTACTCTTTGCTAGCCCCCCCCGTGAGATCAGTGACAGCCAGGTCAATAGCAGGACAAGCACATCCCTGCAAGCAGTATCACTTTCCTCTCTGCACAGGCCTGAGAAGGTCATCCTCTGCGTCCCTCCGGCAACGCGCACAGGTGCCGAATAGGACACCTTCCGCACCACCAGAAGGAGCGAGCTGATCAAAGGTCACTGCCGAGAGATGGGGAGGGGTGGCCCAGCGTACCTTCTGCCCCTCTCTCAGGCTGCTCCCTGGGGCCTGTGTCCTCCTGGAGCCCAGAGGGCAGCCGGGGGTCAGTGAGCTCGTGGTCAGGGGTTTCACCCTGAGCGCCCTCCTCCCTGGAGCTCTCCATGTCCACTGCCTCCTTCTCCCTCCCGTCCCCTGCAAATCAGCACAGGGAAGGCCAGATTACTGTTTCGCACTCGTCTTGGCCTGGATGGGTCCATTTTTTATCACAGCTCCTCCGTTCTGATATTCCGGGACGGCAACAGCTTTGGACTCAGTGCCGTTTTGCTCAAGTCGGGTCTGTCTCGCCATCAGGTCCCTAGAGGATGCGAACGCAGTCTTTCTCTACTCCAGCGGACCCCGGGGTTTTACTTACAGGCAATAAGAATAAGCAGTCGGTGTGAAGAGCAAAGGAACACCCGCAGGGCCGTATCAACTGCGACTCAATACGGAACTACTCACAAATAGATGCAATAAACGTAGTTCAATGCAAGCTGTGGCGTACAATGATGACGGCACGTCACCCCTGGCAATTAACGCACAACAATTTGTTACGGGCAACAAATGAATAAAAACCCATGATCAGATCGATCACATATGAACCACAAGAGAAAATATAACAGTCAGCTTTAGGAGCTGTTCTGGTCGATGCCTGAAATTCACATTTCAAATACTTTTCCCCCGGATAGGCTACCGATCTTGTCCGCTCAAAGCGTGAAAGAGAAACTCCGATCTTTACTATGTTCTTTCCTCGCGTCCCGTAGACTGGAAACAAAATGATATCACCTTCAATTAACTTCTAGGAAACATTTTTTTTATTCTCATTTTACCCTCCTCAGCGGCGACTTCGCTCTCTGTTTGCTCCCGGGACTCCATGTTCGTTTACTGTGGTTACCTAGCAACCTCCTCACGCATGCGCAGAGGAGTGGAGTAGAGAGGTACAGTGCAGGTCAGTTGCGTCTTTCCCGAAATGCTGTACTGGAGACACCCGGGCATGTCGGCTGTTACAAACACTACAGACTGAAAGGTTATCTTGCCCAAGTAACACAACCGACCGAGCTCTCATGACGCGACTTACTGAATGGGTGTATCTGTTATATTAATAATTAACTGCTGAGAAGAGAATAACCTTAAAAAAAAAACACTATCCGTGACAGGGTCGCTCGAAAGCATGTATTAAAAAAATGAACTGAATGCAAATACCACCAACAAAAAACAATCTAGTTCCGTCTTAATGACTTTTCGTAATTGTTGAGGGTTGACATCGGTGTATTTTACATTTCCCCTGTTATAAAATAACAAAAGAGACTAAGCTCCATGATCTGATGTCAGTCCACTTTTCGTGAGGAATCCCACTCCGCTGGGCCCCTGGGCAAGGCCCTGCACCCCAGCACCTCCAGGGCAGGCAGAAGAGCCTTTACTTAACTGGTTCCATTATTTACCCCTCTGCTTCTACTTTTCTGATTACCAACATCCACGGTCTCCTCTGTATATTGTAATTGTGTTTTGTGTATTATTTTTGTTTATTGTAGTTGTCATTCTGTACAGCGCTTCGAGAAGGCACCTTTAAAGGCGCTACATAAAATAAAGTTTATGACGATCATTATTATGATTATACTCGATCATACGGGGCGACGCGCTTCCGCGCACAAAACAGAAGTGCACCTTCCTGAGCCACAGGTCAGTTGTGCCCCTTCGCCGGAGCCCATGACAAGGACAGCAGCCCCAGCACCAGCTCTCCCACGTCTTGGAAAACGTGCCTGCTCCGCCAGCAGGAAGACGGGGTGTTTCACAAGGGGCACGGGAAGGGGGGTTCCCCCTGCCACGCCTGTACCGCGCGGAAAGCGAGCGCGCCGTCTCGGGGCCCGCGGGGGAAGTCACCCCGCCCTTTGTGACGTCAGCCCGGCCCGTGCTGTGATCAGGAAGTCTCCCTCACACCGTGGGGCTTTTCAAAAGCACTTTCGAGCAGACCCGCACTGCCGAACTGGTGAAATGTCTCTGCGTGTAGCAAGTTAACCAGGCCATTAAGGGGGCGAAAGACAAAGCCGACGCTTCGGTCTTTATGTTTTCAGAAATTGTTAGTTATGACTTATGAGGTAGTACTGGACACCATCTGCAAGTATTATGTGAGTATTTGTTATTGACTGGAGTGTGTGTATCGTGTGCGTCTTCTTATTGTCAAACTGAAAGAGCCGACTTACAAATCGCGTACAGCAAAATAGCCAGTCGATATGAGTTCTGAATTCTTTCCTAAACCTATTTGATGTGTTCATAAAGTTAATATCAACTAGAAAACTGTTTTAAAAACAGATTTTTAAAAAATAAATATGCGCTCAGCGTCGTCTCCTGTACAGTAGATTTTGTAGAGTAGCTGTTCCCCGGGAGCCAGAGTAAATAGCTCCAGGCACTATGCGATATTGTTGAATGGTGTCGAGTTGTTGTAGCGCAGATCGATCTCCTACAGCCCGTGCAGGGGGGAGGGGTAATGACGTCATGCAGTGATTGCAGTGAGGGACTGAGAGCTCAGTAAAGCAGCCTGCTCTCAGTAAGTCACGGTGGCCGTGCCATTAGTTTGCTTGATGATGACGATGACGATTGGGTGACACGCTGGGGCTCTGGGCTCGAATCCAGACCTGTGGAGTTTGTATGTTCCCTCTGTGTTTGCCTGGATTTCCTCCGAGAGTCCAAAAACTGACTGGAGGGTTCATTGGCTTCTGGGAAAATTGGCCCTAGGTGTGAGCGGGCAGTTGTCCGCGTGTGTGCCCTGTGAGGGACTGGCGTCCTGTCCAGGCTGTACCCTGCCTTGTGCCTGTTGCTTGCCGGAGATAGACACTGACTGCCCCGTGACCCTGATTTGGAAGAAGTGATTAGAAAATGGACAAAATATGATAATATTTTGCTCCCGTCATGTCCTTCCTATATGAGAACATGTCAGTCTCCCTTGACCAAAAAAAAAAAACATTAGTAAGACGTGCTTTCTTTCCAATGTGTCTGTTTGCGTCTCCGGTGAGCCGTTCAGTCTGAGACACAGCTGTTTCTGCAGGAGCCCCAGGTGAGGTCCCTCAGCAGCTAGCGGAGACGGCAGCCTGAATCTCTCGGGAAAGTGATGGCGTCCTCGTCCGACCTGGAAGGTACAGATGAGCCGCCGCTTCTAGCGTCATCACTTACGGTACACACAGTCGGTCCACCCAGGCCTGTGTCCACGCTCGGTGCGGTGGGACAGCAGCATGGACCGGTGCCTATGGCTGCAGACAGGGTGGTTGAGGGTTCGAATCTGCCACTGTGCCTTTTATCCCCTTCGGCAGGCCCCTTCATTTAAAACGCGACTGTTAATGATAAATATAGAAATCTTCAGGCTGTTGTAAACGAGGAATTGATTCTCGTTTAACCGGCTAATACCGTGCACTGAATACAGTAAAATTGGGGCTCTTTTTCAAAACATATCGAGCTTGGACTGTCGGGGAGAAGAAGAGCCAGCGGGCACTGGAACAGGTCTGAGGGAGTCGAGCCACCCAGTCGAGTCGCAGTCGCCAAGGCCGAAACCCTGGTTCCTTTCAGTTAACGACTAGATGAGATGATCAATTAGCTGCCAGCTAGCAGGCACGCAAGCCAAAAGGTCTAAGCAGCTCTCTCTCGGGTGTGATGGTTACTCTGTTTCTAGCTGCGTGTGTCCATCAGGAGCCTTGGAATCTGTGTTACTACCCACAGCCCCCTGGCAAGTGTATAAACAGTATTTCTTTATCCCTGTGGAATCTCTGTGCCTGTGAACTGACCAGACGGTGAAGAGGTCAACAGGGAGCTGACAGTTAATTTAATCAGGGTATGGGTCTCAACCACTACAACAACTTTGGTTGTCTTTGAGCAGGTTGTAAGTTCCTTTCATTGAGGTTTCTCATGTTCTGCTCTGCAGCGCACCTGGGACATGAATACAGGACGTATTAGTTCAGGTGGGCAGCTGCGTCAGCATGCGTAGGCTGCAAAGGAACAAGTAATAGGTTTATTACATGCTGAAAAAAAGAAGAAAGAGAACACAACGTTGTGTTCTCTTTCTTCTTTCTTCTTCAGATAAAGCTGGATTTTTTTTACCTCCCCTTCCAGTAAGCAGTGTGCAGTGCATGTTCTTTCAGCAGCATGCGGACACCATTGAAAGCATCATCAGAAATAATGATTGATTGATTGATTGATTGATTGATTGATTGATTGGTAGACACCAGAGACTGGCTGCCGAGGTTGAAAATTCAATTGCTTTGCTTCACCGAAGAAACCTTTTAAGAGAGAAGGTTTGTCCCTTCGTACAACAGACTACGAAAGCACATTGAGGATTCTATAGATTCATGTTTTTCTGTCTCCAGTGTGTTTTACTTTGGCGCATTCCCGAGAGCCGCCAGCAGGTGGCACTGACTTGTGCTTGTGCTGGCAGACGGGTACGGAGCCAGCGAGCCCCTGAAGACGCACATCCAGAACTCCCGGGACCTGCTCGTGGCGGCGCTGTACAACATCGCGCCGCTGCTGGACCACCTGCTGGCGGCCCACGTCATCACGGACGACAACTACAGCGACGTGCAGGCCGAGAGCACGGCCAGGAACAGGGCGCGCAAGCTGCTGGAGGTGGTGCACTGCCAGCTGGACGAGGAGAAGACCCGCCACTTCCTGGAGTGCTTGAGGAAGTGCCGGCACCAGTACCCCCGGCTCCGGGACTGGCTGAACACCGAGCCCGGTAGGCCTCCGCGCGACACGTTTTCAGCAGGGCCGGGGCGTGGCGCAGCGCGGCGTAACCTCCGCCTGCGCTCGTACGCGTGTGCCTTCCGCCCCGGCCTGAGTGCATTGTAAACGGACACCTGCTGCAGGAGACATTTCAGAAATAACCGAGGGGGGGAGGGCACGTGGTCAGGAATAGACACTGTGCCATGCGTGGGGGTTTGTTCTGTGGTTTCAATACACAGGCAGTGGTCACTCGGAGACACCCATGTGTGGTAATAACATAGGGTGACTATGGCTGCACCCGGACTGTAAAACTCACTGTCCACTGCTGGAACTCGGGACACTGTGCGTCTTCTCCCAGTGTTCCCCAGAAATGGCCATTTCTGTCTCGCATTAAACTTGTCTCCAACTTGCACTGGACTGCGCTGCGACTTCTTCCAGTCCTGCAATTGGCCTGGCTGCATTTCGCAGCAAGAAAAAAAAGTTTTTTACATATTGCTTATTGAATAAGTAATCTCGAGTAACAATCCTCAATTTCCCTACGGGATTAATAAAGTATTATCTGTCTATCGAATCCGAGTGCCTTGGTCTTTCTGACAAGATGAGACGTCTTGCTCTTGAATTGTAGTGGAAGTTTTAGGGATTTCACTTACAATAATTAGACAGATATTGGTGGTTGACAGCAGTAAAGTAGCTGTGGGGAAGGCAGTCTAACCCTACACTGACAGCATCTTTCCTTCTTTTCACAGCCGATATCAAGCGAGGCCCAACAGGTATGTTGTTCCCCGGACCCTGACAGCACTGCTCATTTCTGCGCAGTTGCACGTGCTCAGTAAGTGTTCTCTGTGGAGTGAGTACCAGATTAGTCGTAGCCCGCGGAGTAGGACCCGAGCCGGTCGTTAAGGGAGAAAGCTCTCGGTGCCTTGCGGGCTGCTGGAGTGCCATGCCTCTGTCTGCGTCTCTCCCCATCAGAGCAGAAGCTGCAGGGCCAAGTCAGCGAGCTGTGTCACCGGCTGGGCCCCCTGGTCACCCCCCTGTCCGTGCGGCTCTACTCCGAGGGCGTGCTCTCGCTGTTCGAGCTGGAGCAGGTGCAGGCTGCAGCCGCCCCCTTCCTGCAGACCCAGAAGCTGGTGGCCCTCTGCCTGGCCCGCGGGGAGGCCGCCTGCCGCAGCTTCTACCAGGCTCTGCGCCGCGAGGACGGCTTCCTGGCCGGGGACATCGACGGTGAGCGGCCCTCGTGCCCCCCTCCTCTGGACTCTGCCTTCCCGTCCGGGCGCGTGGCCGAGGTCACGCCGGATGCTCACAGGCGGACTGTTATAGTAAAGACCAATTCCCGCGCTTCGGCACGCTGGTGGTTCTGTAACAGTGGGGATGATGCTGAAGCCACAAGAACATTTGGAAAGAAAAGTATTATTTTTTTCCTTTTCCAGCACAGTGATCAACTATGTTCCTGAGGTGTTCAGATACTGTAGTGAACATGGTAACTGCACTGACTTTACCAGGAGGCCTTTGTCTCCTATAGCGTGTTTTGTCCCTGGATTGTGTGTGATTTTTAAAGAACGTCTTTGTTTCTCTTTATTTTCCTGAATTTCCAGATTGCACGTCTTCAGTGAAGTCCTGGGAGGGTGGTGTCAATGCAATCCAGCCAGGTACAGAAGCCATACTCCAATGCAATCATGTTGGTGTCAATATGCATTGTCCCCCTACCTCTGTTTCTAGAGACGGGAGGATCATTCAGGATCAAATGGTAGGCAATTCCATTTGAGCCACACACATCAGGCCAGAATGTATTCAGGTTTCTAGGCATGAATTGATCAGGAGACTATATTACTCCCCCCTGGATGTTACCCCAGTCCATCACAGGACCTACTCCCAACAGTACTAGTTCCTGTTTATAGAGCTGCCTCAACTGGAGCAGCTGGGGTCAAGTACCACACTCAAGGTACCCTGTGTTACCGTGTCACTCACAGGTACTTGTACGATAGCAGGGTCTACAGCAGGGATTTAAACCCACTGTCCATCAGTTACGAGTCCAGAGCTTTACCCACTACTCTCCACTGCCTAAAGGATCAATTAACTTCTTTCAATATAGAGTGATGAAGCCTGCTTTTCAATGACACCTCCACTAGAGGTTTATGATTAGAATATCCTTTGAAACGGTTGACTCTCTGGGGATGACGGAGAAGTTCTCCAGTCTCTTTAGCCGAAGAGGTCAGGCACTGCTTCTGTGATGGTGAGCGTTCTGTGTTGTAGTGAGCACCATGTCTGATGCACATCCGCCGATATTGGCAACAACCAGCTGTGCCTTAGCTGTAGAAGAAACGAGCCCTGTTGAAGACAGTAAGTATGCCGGAAGATTTTTCCCCACACATTGTGCCAGTTTCTAACAGCCAGCTTTCCCTTTAACCCATTTCACCTCTGAACTCCTGAGCAGACCTGGAGTGGGTCGGGCACAGGACGGGCCTGGAAGGAGGGAGGGGTGATACGGGGGCAGGAGGCGGACTGTCGTTACAAACACAGTAAATAAGAACTGATGCCTTTGCCCGTCTCAGATCGGATAATTTAAAAAGGTTACCGCCCGGACGAGCGGCAGTATCTTCCCGGTGAATTTCCGGGATGCCCGCAGGTGACTAGGGAATGCACGGGCCCTGCCGCCGTTCACTAACTGGTGTCTGTGTCATGGCAGTGCTCCAAAACCTGACCCTCAGGACCGAGTACGGAAAGGAGATCGATCTGCCCGCTGCGGAGAAAGGTTGGTCCGATCCGTGGTTCGTCAGGAGCGCCTCGGCCGTGCTTTCTCTGCTGCTCCCGAACGCCTTGCATCCTTCTTTCCCCGGACAGACGTCATCAGCCAAGTGATGGGGCAGCTGGGCCTGCAGCTGGACGCGGGGATGACCCTGAACGTCTGCGAGCTGGGCGTGGCCCTGGGGCTGCCGCGCAAGGCGGCCAGGGAGTGCCTGCTGGAGCTGGACAGCACCGGAGACCTGCACCAGCTGGCTGCCGTAGTGCACTGCTTCATGGAGAAGACCCAGGACCCCAGCCGGCTGCTGGCCAAGGCCGCAGCCTGCGACACGAACAGTACGCCCACATCTTTAATTCACCTTCCTTCTTCTCATGGTACACATAGCTCGTTAACCTGTAAAGATCGGGGGGGGGGGGGTGCTATTAATTACCATCCAGCGCCACAAAGTTGCCTCGAGCAGTCCTGTCGCAGCAGCATAAAATACTGTGGATGTTGCTCTAAGAAAATCATGTCTGCTTAACAAACATGAAACCCAGCATTTGGGTCTCGCTCTGTTCCACTGTAACCTTAACCCCGACTCCAGTGCGAACATTATCCCCAAACCTGTCCCGAGCTCTGGGGCTGTTCGGTGGGACTATAACCGCGTTTGCAGGTGTAGTGAGTTATGAGACTTTATCCTGACGGGAGCTGGGTTTTCCTCTCTGCTGGCAGGACTGAGGCTGTCGGAGAGGGGCCGCCTGCTGCTGGAGATGCTGCAGGAGGCCGCAGCCCATCTCGAGAGGGGGCAGCAGCAGCAGCAGCAGGAGGAGGAGCAAATCCAGAAGTGCTGGCACCTTTTCAGCTTCCTTGCCTGGGACTGCCTGGCCGTGGTGGAGGAGGACCCGCCCGCCGTGCCCTGGTCCGGGCCGCTGGGCGCCGTGGAGCGACTCAAGAGGGATGGGCTGGCGGAGCCGGAGCTGGTGCAGGAGCTGGAGGAGTGCTGGGCCGAGCAGACCCCCGCCAGCCTCCGGCAGAGCCTGTGCGTCCTGGCGCAGCTGCTGAGGGACCTGCACCCCCGGCTGGACAGCGCGGAGTTCTCGGCCCGCTTGGAGGGAGAGGTTTACCGCTGCAGGCCGCGCGGCCTGCACAGGCTCACCCGCTTCAAGGGCCTGGCCCCCAGGGTCATCTACAAGGTGCTGCAGCAGCGGGCCCCGCCGGCGAGGGAAGACCCAGCTGTCTTGGGGGATGGGGCCGTGGTGGCCGCGCAGTACAAGGAGATCTGCCTCAAGATCGCCCAGCTCCTGGCCCGGGTGGCTAAGCGGGGGCAAGGCGCCGACCTCGCGCAGGCCCCGCTATCGGATATCATCCAGGAAATCCGGTCGGCACTCTCCACTCCCGAGCTCGCGCCGGACGCCTTCGACGGTGGACTTCATTTCCGGCTGCTCTCCGTGGTCGAGTTCAACCCCCTGGTCCTAGGTGTGCCGTCCCTGGTGACCCTGCACTGGCACACACTCCGCGTCCTGGAGGAGTACCTGCGGAGCAGCGACAGGCACTCGTTCCAGTTTGTCTTCGAGGACGTGCGGATGGCGGGCGGCTGGGCGGAGCTCGGGGGCATCCGCAGCGTGCTGGGCCCCATCGCCATCGACAACGGCGTGGAGGAGGTTTTCCAGTTCTCGACGTCCGAGCCGGCCTCCTTCCTCGTGCGCCTGCACTGCCGCGGATACAGAGGGCAAGAGCATTTCCGACGCAGCGAGCCGCGCTCTTTCCTAATATCTGGCCTGCCCGATGAGGCAACACCAGAGCTGGAAAGGGAGGGAGCCGGCGTGGTGCTGCTGGCCGAGCCGGGGAAAGCGTGGCTCAGGCTGCGCAGCCCAGAGGGACCGAAGGCCGGGCTGCATGCCCTCGCTCAGCGGTACTCCGCGCTGCTGCAGGAAGGCAGCTGCTGCTTCCTCATCAAGTCGTCCGGGCGGCAGTGCGAGGTCAAGTTCACTTTTAAAAACGGGCAGATCGCGGCCACCGAGAAAAACGGCTGCACCGTTCTGTGAATTTTGGATGGGTCAGCCATTTGTCAGAAGCAGGGTTCTTCATATCAATATGGGGAAGCTATCTTTTAGGGTAGCACAGTGTCTGTTTTTATGGACTCTTATCCACGTGCCTTAGAAATGGTTACTGAACACTATGAGTAAGTGGCTTGTTGCAGATATTAATGACCTTACATGAATGGGCTCCTTACCCAGTTTTGGGAGAGGCTAGTGGTTTAGACTACCGGCGGTTTTCAGCACATTTGAGGTTTTCCTACTGTTTGACAATCCTATTATTTTTTGTAAAAAAATGTGAAAGTGGCACCTTGCATAATAGGGGTCTGTTCTTCCTTGAGATTAGGAGTTGATGAAGCATGTATTTCAAAAAGTATTTGAAACGGAGCATGAAAAGAAACTTACCACTTAGAGCTGCAGCAAATTCTCAGTTATCATGATCACACTTATCTTTTTGTGTAGCATAGAGACTGAGATTATGTTGAAGGGACATGACAGATGCTGCATGCCAATGATCATTTGTGGGCAACTGGGCTGATCAACAGGACATCTGTGGTGAAGTAAGTGTATGAATTTATCAAAACGGTGCCAAATCCAAAACATTTAATCAATATATCTTTTTCTTAAACCGACTATGCATGGAGTGGTGTTTTTTTGGTGCTTAGTACAGTAATACCTCATATGTTGTCTATGAATGTCTGTACCTCCTGGATCTGGATGACTGATATGAAGCTGTAGTAATTCCTGGATGCCTTCAGCTGTTAGCAATAAAATCTTTTAATTCAGGTGTTTTATTATTGTTTCACCTCACTGTCTGGAAACCTCATCAACGTGGAAATAATACCACCTAGCCCAAGAACATCTCCGACCCATTTTAAAATTGATTCATCTTGATTTATTTGAGTTGGGTAAAATTGCATTATAATTTAAAATTCCTAAAACTTTAAAAGTACATATAAAAAGTAAATTTAAAAGAAAAAAGGTCTTTAAAAGCATGGGCACAACATGCAATGTAACCTTGATGTGCATTCTGCTCTTTTTGTTCTCAGAACAGTGAAAAGCACTTACTATTACATTTTTAGCTCAGCCTGCTTAAAATAAGCGGGTAAAGAAATGTAAATCTTTCATCTAAGTTTCTCTCGTCCAGCAACAAGCAGAGTCACTTAGTGTGAGTGTATAACGCAAACCACCCTTCATCTTTCACCTTCTCCACCTGCCAGAGACAAAAGAGACAAAAATGCCTTGAAAATATTAGGACTTTGTGATGCGAAGGAAACTAAAAAAGGACTTTGTGACATTTAATATGCGCCAGTTACTTTTCCATCTGTAATACACCCCTCAATCTCTAACTGCTACAAAAGGACAATACCGCTAACTGTTGGCTTACATTACAGTTCAAAACACAGCTTTACAAAGGAGATGAGCAATAAACCCTTCAGAGGTAATGCTTTCACTTAGAAAGAGAGCACCC